ATATATATGTATCCTTCTTAATAAGGTAACAACCTAAAGAAATGTTTGTTGGGTTAAACAGGCTTACTTGACATTTTATAGATTATTTGTTATATATGTAAATAACAAATGTTTACATAAAGTTTTATACTGTTTACATATTTAAAAAAAAAATACTTTTTCTGTTTAAATCTAGTCATATTTTTTTCTTTTCTGTCTTCAGAGCCAAGCCAGATTTTATAACTGCATTACTGTCATTCTTAACATCTTACATCTGCTCAAACTCTGTGCATACACATTTATTCACCATTTTGCTTTTGATTAATCAGAATTCATGTTTTTATTCATATCCACCAACATATAAACTGATCCTCACAGGATTTTACATGTCTGTTGCTGTAATTCTTGTAATAAGACTATAACACCTTTAAACAAGAGCCATTGTCAATCAAGCAGATAACTGAAGGAGTCAGTGGAACAGGAGGTACTATAAATACTGTAAATTTAATCCTCAGAAATTCCCTTAAACATGTTAAACCTTCCATCCATCCATCATCTTTACCCACTTCTTCCTTTTTGGGTCGTGGGAGTCACTTGTGTCCATGTCCAGTAGTCATTGAGAGGCAGGGTACACCCTGGACAGGTTGCAAGCCCATCACAGAGACACATAGAGATAAACAAGACAAACAACCATTAGACAAAGTTTAGAACTACAACAAAACTCCAAGCAAAGCTGTTATTCACCAAAACACAGGATCCAGTATGTATAAAAATTCAAAATCTACTGGTAATCCCAAATGTGACCATGAACCTAAAAACCAGCTGAGGACCTCTTAAAGTTAAAGACAACATAAAGTTGTTTTTTGTAAATTAAAATAATAAAATAGAAGATTATTCAGTTCAGACATTTTAAAGAAGGAAATCTGATTATTATTATTATTTATTTATTTATTTATTTATTTATTTTATTGTTATTTATGTATTTATTTTACTTGTGAGGAAATCTTTAGTGGCACCCAATCTCCACAGTGAAGCACGGTGGTGGTTGCATCATGCTGTGGATGTGTTTGTCATCAGTAGCTCTTGAAAAAGTAATGTAAGGCAGAGGTTCACATTACGATGACTCTTAGCGTGCAGATAAGGAAACACTTGAGTGGTTTCACCTGAGAGAACTGTCAAACTTCTTGGAATCCTATTGAGAATTTATGATTTGACATAAAGACACAACCCATTCTGCCTAAACAAGTTTTGGCAGTTTGCGGACACAATCGCTGCAGTCATAGTTCTTGTTCACCTTAAAACAAACTACATGTATCTTCGAAGTGAAATGTCTGTTGTGTCACAAAAATCAGTTTTTATCTCTGGTTGTAACAGAAAGTAAAAAAGTCAGAGGGCAAATGAGTCTTCATGACACGTAAATGGCAGATTGGCACCCAGTTCATGTTGAATATGTGAGAATGCACATTTAAGTTATGTTTTAGTCTTATTGTATTGTTTTTTTCTCTTTTCATATTAGTTTTCATGTTATGTCTCACTTCAATTGAGGTGGTGCAGGAACACCTGTGAAATGATCATCTACATAACATGAGCATCAAAGTAAACTTAGACCTAGATCATGATGTAACCAAACTGGATTTGGAAATAGATTCTGTGTTTTCTGTCTCTTTCAGGTCAGAGGAAAAGTGGGTTATTATGAGGCCCACATCTCTGGGAGTCGGACTCAAGTACCTAATAGTGAGTTCCAGCGAAGCCCTCGGCCTGCTCGACGAGTGACTAGCCAAAGTCCTTCCCATCCCAACCAAGGAAACACGGCTTTTGAATACCCAATGATTCAGCCACAAGGAACAAAACTTCCTGCTGTTGTCCAAAATGGCCGAGAAGTGGAAGAAAGAATGACCGAAAGAAAAAAGGAAGAAGAAGAGAGGGATGTAGGTCAAAAGAATGGCAGTGCCACTAAAACAAATAAAGAAAACATTTATCAAAATGACTGCCACTCAGAAACAACTGCACCAACTCTCTTTGTTGATGGGCTGCTGGTTCAAGGTTCATCTGAGGCATCAGAAAACGGTGCAACAACGGCTGATAAAGGGGATGAACTCAGACAAAAGGAGGGAGGAAATGATAAAAAGAGGGTAGATGAAAGCGAACGGACAGAGAGAGAACCAATAGATGGGAAAGAGGACTGTTGCTGTCCTAAAGTTCTGCTTCAGACGGATGGGAACGGGTCAGACGATTTACATCAAGCACAAGACAATAAGAACTCTCTGTGTTTGCAAGATCCAGGTGATCAGACCTGCAGCTCTTCTGCCCTGCCTCCCTCCATCCCTGCAGTCATAGTTACTGACCACGGTTTGGAGAGCACACCTCATACTACTGAAAGCTCTGGGTCAGAACAGGGACGGTCCTGCTCCACCAGCCGCAGCTCCAGCCCTATTCCAAACTCCACCACTCGGTCTCTAAGGAAGCTGTCTTCCTCCTCCACCTCCTCAGCCGGTTTCTCCTCTTCTTGGGAAGAGTCAGAGGAGGACATCTCCAGTGATACGGAGAAGGGAGAGAATCTTCTCAACCCAGAACACCTGAGTTCTCAACAGAAAGCGGTAAGAAGATTAAAAGTTTGAGAGTGCACTCTTGCTTTTAGTACCCGTCAGCTTGACAAAAGAGGTTATCTCTTCAGCTCCCACATATTCCTGCTGATTGTTTAAAGCTGTGGTTCAAAAGTTGGGGTTAGGACTCGTTTGTAGGTAATAGCATCAAGTGGTCTTAAAGGAACTGGTCCAGATGGCATGATTTAATCTTTTTTTTGTTGTTATCTACCTGGATGATTGAGCTTACAATTGATTTATCAAATGGCCTTCTTAAGATAATCTCCAAGAATCTAGTTAATAGCATATTTCATATATTTGACATAAATATTTCATTAGTTTAAAAAGTCATTAATGGATATTACTCATACAGTAGTGGTTTGTGTTTGTTGTATTGTCATTATACTCATCTTTGGCTCATTAACAGTGTTTGTAAGTGGTACAAGTTTCTGGTATTATGTGGGCTTTATGTGGTTACAGTCATGATAATCCTCAGAGCTTTAAGGGATAGTTCAGATCTTTGAAAGTGGGGTTTGGTGGAAAGGTTATAAACAATTATTATCTCACCTGCTACAGATAACTTTTTGAATGACACTTTAAAGAAAGGAAGGTTTTTGACCTGATTTGATCTTTGAGCCAAGTCAAAACTAACCCAATTTCTCCAAACTGAGCATTTGGTCTGCTCTGACTAGCTATTAACTTGTCAGTGTGGTCAGAATTATGGTAAACGCCCTTTTTCCCCAAACTGAGGTTGTTTCAAAGGTGATCTTTTGATCTTTTTATCTTCATCAGATAAGCTAATAAGTGTTCAAAACCTTTCTACAGGACTCCACTTCAGAAGATTTAAACTTGTCTTTTTAAGCGGAAGACAACTGAACCTCTGTTCTTGTTTTTTTGAGGAACGTTTGACTTTTCATTGATGAGACACCCTCACTTTAACTGACTTATAGGAAATTATTTGTCAGGTAGATCTGAGGAAACCAAGAACCCAAATGTTTTGAAGTCCAGTTTTCTTCTACTTTATCTGCATGAGGGCACTTCAGTGTTTATATTGACATTTTTGACACGGTTCTACTGATGCGGTTGCCTCTCTCAGCTGGTTATGGTTCACTCTTTATGTAACATATTGACTAATTTAAGAAATAATTTGGTCATGCTGAAATGTTCTCAGAGGAAGAGTCAATTATGTTGATCTTCTTGGACCTGTTGGCTTTAAAAAGCTATTTCCCTTTGTTATTTATAACTTGTAATATTCTAATTTAAAAAAATTCTAACTTGTCTTTATGATCAAACCCAAGCACAAACACAAAACTCTGGCCCTTTTATTCAATCTCATCTATATTTGTTCTGTCTACAGGCGTGCTGTGTAACCACCATGCTGAAGAGAGCATATTAAGCTAAAACATGTTGAATATATTAGAAAATGGAGCTTCTGAGCTGTACCAGGTATTTTTATTTTATTAGAATCTAAAACCCAGCAGGTGCTTTTCTTGGAAAGAGATTGAGCTTACCTTCTATGTTTGTGTGTGACTTTATTTTCTTCATTGTTTTTGAGATATGCAACGAGCACACAAGGAAAAAATCTGTCACAACCAGTTCTGCTGAACTGCTTTTTGCGTAACACATTTCCAAACAGAGCTACAGAGAATCTGCAGGGATAGAAAAAGTCATGAAGAACCATTTACCGATTGGCTATGTAAATGTGGCGTGCGCATAGAAATAAAACTTTCAGGTGTGGCAGTACAGTGAAGTCATGCATGTGAGAATGCAAAGAAGCTCCTGTCTTGGTGAGTTAGTTTTAGAAGCCCCTTGTTCGTGCGCCTCATTTGTTTCTGAAGGTGTTTGTGCACGTGTTTGGAGGCTGCTGCGTCAAAGCGCCCCAAGCCTTATGCCTGAGTTACCGCTCAAAGCATCAGTACTCGCTCTGTGCGCCTCCAACGTGCGTGAAAATGTGCATTTGTTTAGCTCAGGGCTTTTTTCCTGTCCTTTAAAAACTAAAGGTTTGACATGTGAGCATGTTTAAGAGAAAGCATGTTTGGAAGAAAAAGGGAAAGCAGTTGTCAGTCTCACACACTTTGATTCTATTTGCATTTGAACACAGTTCAAAGACGAGGTTAAGGCCTGTTTGGCTATAGTGTGTGGGTGCCAGTGTTTAGTCTGTAGCCAAAAACTTTTTGCTTTAAACAAAAAAATTTAAGTTTAAAAGTTAAAAAGTTTAACAGACCTTGTTTTCTTTTTATTATAAACTGCTAACATCATAATTGTTTTTTATAGGTGTTTATGAAAGCAAAAATCTTTTAGATTGTTCTCAATTTCTTGAATCGCTTCATTTAACATGCAGCTCTCCCTGATGGTAGACAACACAAGTCATTTGTTTAAAGGACTCTGGCTGATGGATTTGAATAGTGTTTGTATTGTTCTTTGCATATTTCCATTCATTGATTTGTTTTTTTTGTTTTTATCGAGGCAAAGACAGAGCCAAAAGCTCTAATGTTGTTTGGAAGCATTTTAATTTAAAGGTTTGACTTCCCCCACTTACAGCATGGAAACGTCAACCGTGTTGCTTGTTTATATTCTCGTTCGTACTTAAGCAAACATGATGTGTGTGCAAGAGGCAAACGTGCAGGAACACATAAAGCATGCTCGTTCATGTGGGAGGTATGTGGGAGCGAGGAGAGGGACTGAGAGGAGTGATACTCACAAAGTAAGTGAGCATTAAGCTGGCAGAGACAAAATAAATTTGTCTTTAGTTGCAGAAAAGATAGAAAGTTACATAAAAGCACTTGTTTGTTTTCACCTTGAAACATTTGGAAATCTACCAGGAAATACACAGATGTGAAAGTGTGGCTCTGACAGCTATAAACTTATCAAGGTGAAAGAAACGTGCGGGGCAATAAAACCTTTATTGCATACTGGGGGAAATCAAAGTACAAGATGTGTGTGATCACATCAGTCATGCTTTATCACCGTTGATACATTTATCTTTACAGTTCATTTCTCCCTCCACAGCCGGCATAATTAAAACATCCTTTTGAATTACTTGTCCAAGTAGGCATGACACAACTTTGTTTTGGTCTTACCTGCTGAATGATGTTAACATGCTGGTAACTGGTTGAAGCTGGAGTCTGAACAGAGCCTTATATAGACACTGTTCACTGCTGGCCAGCTCTCCATAAGGCAAAGGCACATCCATATGTGTTGAGATGGTTGAATTTTTTTTCATCCTGTTCTGGTAGTTTTGTAGTTAAAGAACACCTGTGTTAAATTTGTATCAGTATTTATTTTCCTCTAAGATTTGGAGAAGAAAAAAAACGTGATTTTCTTTCTTTCTCATATTTGAGCAACAGGGCTGCAGACATTTGTGTGACCAGCTGGTCTTTATTACTCCATTACTGTGGTGTGTTGATGTTTACGTCTCATCCACAAACAAACAAAAATATAATAATTCATTTAGGGGAGGCTGCACCTTGTTGACACAAACCATGTGGATTTTCATGTTTGTCTTAATTCCTAATTAGTTTTCTTCACACCTACGGTATCTTTATTTTTTTTTCCAACCTTCAAGCTAACGTGGCGTCAGTGCATTCTTACTGGTTGGTTGATGAACGCAAGATTTCGTTTACGCTGTCTGAAGAATTTCTGAGGCTACTGGTGCAACAAACACTTAAAACTTTCCATAGTCTCACTTAGGAATAATGTTTTGGAGTCTTGATTTTTCTGTGTTGTTTGGGAGAAACTAAACTTGCTCAGTGTCTGCCAGTTTTTGTAGGTTGAGGGGTCTCAGCTGTACAGCTCCCCCCCCCCCCCCCCCCC